TTTGTGGGGACACATTTTCAGCTCATTTAGGTGAATATCAGGCAGTGCGGTTGCTGGGTCTGATGGTAAGAGCGTGTTTAATTTTGAAAGAAACTGCCAAACTGTCTTCCAAAGTGGCTGTACCATTTCGCCTACACACCAGCAGTGAATGAGAGTTCCTGTTGCTCCACATCCTCACCAGCATTTGATGTTGTTGGTGTTCTGGATTTTAGCCATTCTAATAGCTGTGTAGTGGGTATTTGTTTTAATTTACACTTCCATGACAAAGGTAGTGGAGCATCTTTTCATGTGCTTATTACAATCTGTCTATCTTCTTTGTCTGTTCAGGTCTTTTGTCCATTTTTTAATGAGTTGTTTGTTTTCTTATTGTCGAGTTTTAAGGGTTCTTTGTATATTTTAGGTAACAGTTCTTTATAGAACATGTTCTTTGCAAATATTTTGTACGAGTCCAAGGTTTGTCTTCTTAATCTCCTGACGGTGTCTCTCACAGAACAGTTTTTAATTTTTATGAAGTCTGGTTTATCAGTTTTGTCTTTCATGGATTGTGCCTTCAGTGGCACCTAGAAAGTCACTGTCACCCTCAAGGTCATCTAGATTTCCTCTTAAGTGTTTTATATGTACACGTTTTACATTTAGGTCTATAATCCATTTTGAGTATTTTTTTGCATGGAGATGTACAGTTGTTCCAGCATCGCTTTTGAAGAGACTATTGAAGTCTTCCCTTCACTTCAGTCTTCTGGAAGAGATTGTAAAGAGTTGGTATTATTTCTTACTTAAATGTTTGGTAGAATTCACCAGTGCACCTATTTGGGCCCGGAGGTTTCTGTTTTGAAAGGCTATTATTTATTGATTCATTTACCTTAGTAGCTACAGGCCTATTCAGTTTGTCTATTTCTATTTGTGTGAGCTTTGGCAGATTGTGTCTTTCAAGGAATTGGTCCATTTCATCTAGCTTATCAAGTTTGTGAGCATAGAACTGTTCATGTTATTACTTTCTTTTCCTTTTAACATCCATAGGTTCTATAGTGATATCCTATTTTTGTGTGTTCTGTCCTTTTTTTTTTTTTTGCCTGCATAGAAGCTTATTGATTTTATTGATCTTTTCAAAGAATCAGCTTTATTTCAGTGATTTTCTCTATGGATATTTTTTGATTTTATTAATTTCTGCTTTTATTTTTATTATTTCTTTTATTCTGCTTACTTTAAATTTAACTTGCTCTACTTTTTCTTGTTTCCTAAGGTGGAAGCTTATTGATTTTAGATCTTTCTTCTTTTCTAACATGCATTTAATGCTACAGATTTTCCTCTTGGCCCTGCTTTTAGACATCACACAAATTTTGCTATTTTGTATTGTTATCTTCATGTGGTTAAAAGTATTTTAAAATTTCTATTGTGATTTCTTCTTTGACCATGTGTTATTTAGAAGTGTGTTCTTTATTCTCTAAGTATTTTAGAATTTTCCAGCTATCTTTCTGTTACTGATGTCTAGTTTACTTTCTTTGTGGTCTGAGAGCAGACATTGTATGATTTCAATTTTTAAAAAATTTGTAAAGGTGTGATTTTTGTTCAAGAATGTAGTCTATTTTGATGAATGTTTCACATAACCTTGAAAACATTGCATAATCTGTGGTTGTTGGATGAAGTCACCTATAGATGTCAATTAAGTTGATTGATGGTACTCTTGAGTTCCACTATGTCCTTACTAATTTTCTGCTGATGGATCTATTCACTTCTTTTAGGGGATGTTGAAGTCTCTAACTATAATAGTGGATATGTCTGTTTCTTCTTGCTGTTCTATTAGTTCTTGTCTCACATACTTTGTTGCTTTATTATAAGACAGATATACCTTAAGGACTGTTACCTCTTCTTGGAGAATTACCCCTTTATCATTACGTAATGCCCCGCTATATCCCTGATAATTTTTCTTGCTTTTGCTCTGTCTGAAATTCATATAGGTACTCCAGCTTTGTTTTTGATTAGTGTTTCCATGATATATCTTTTTCCATCCCTTTACTTTTAATCTATATGTGTCTTCATATTTAAAGTGAGTTTCTTATAGACAATATATAGTTGGGTCTTGTTTTTTCATCTACTCTGACCATCTCTGCCTTTTAATTAGTATACATAGGCCATTGACATTTAAAGTGATTACTGATATAGTTAGGTTAATATCTATCTTATTTGTTAATGTTTTCTATTTGTTGCCCTTGTTCTTTGCTCTTATTTTTCTCTTTGGTCATCATTAAAAAAAATTTTTTTTTCTGTCATTCTCCCTCCTCTGAGACTCAAATTACATTTATGTTAAAATGCTTAATATTGTCTCATAGGGCATGGGTGCTCTTTCAGTTTTTTATAGTGTTTTTCCTCTGTGTGCTTCATTTGGGATTGTTTCTGTTCCTGTGTATTCTACTTCACTTATCTTTTCTTCTGCAGTGTCTAAAGTGCTGTTAATCTCCTCAATGTGATTTTTATTTCACTTACTATGTTTTTCATCTTTAGAAGCTTCATATTCTATATATATGAAAGATACATACATAAAAAAGAAAGATATGTATTTATCTTGTGTGTCATATATATCATATATCTTTTATTTCTCTCTGCTACTTTTTGGTTGAATGCTGGATATGGCAAATTTTATTTATTGGTGCCTGATTTTGTTTTTATTTGTTTTTTTTTTTGAACCTATGGGTACTGAGAGCCATAGGTGATTTTTATTTTACTTTATTTATTTTAGTTTTTAAAATTTTTATTTATTTATGGCTGCACTGGGTCTTCGTTGCTGCACATGGACTTTAGTTGCGGTGAGCGGGGGCTACTCTTCGTTGTGGTGTGTGGGCTTCTCACTGTGGTAGCTTCTACTCTTTGTTGTGGAGCACAGGCTCTAGGCATGCGGGCTTCAGTAGTTGTGGCTCGTGGGCTCAGTAGTTGTGGCTCGTGGGCTCTAGAGCACAGCCTCAGTAGTTGTGGCACATGGGCTTAGTTGCTCTGCGGCATGTGGGATCTACCCGGACCAGGACTCATACCCGTGTCCCCTGCATTGGCAGGCGGATTCTCAACCACTGCACCACCAGGGAAGTCCCGCCTGATTTTGTTATATTCTTTTAAGTAGTGTTGGACTTTGCTCTAGTGAGTAATTAAATTATGTGGAATAAGTTAGATTCTTTTTTTTTTTTTCTCTTTGCGGTACATGGGCCTCTCACCACTGCGGCCTCTCCCGCCGCGGAGCACAGGCTCCAGATGCGTATGCCCAACGGCCATGGCCCACGGGCCCAGCTGCTCTGCGGCATGTGGGATCCTCCCAGACCGGGGCACGAACCCGTGTCCCCTGCATTGGCAGGCAGACTCTCAACCACTGCGCCACCAGGGAAGCCCTAAGTTAGATTCTTTCGAGGCTTGCTTTTAAGCTTTTAAGTGGATCTGGGGCAGCCTTTAATATAGTACTTATTTAACCCTACTACTAAGATTATGCTTTTCTAAAGACTCTATTGTCTCAGGTAGTAGGAACCATTCTGGCTGCTGAGAACATGGAGTATTCCAGGCCCTATGTGAGGTCTGAGATTTGTCTAGTCTATAGCTTTCTGGAACTTATTTTCCTGCCTGTGGGAAGTTTTCATCCACACATGCACAGATGAATACGTAGCCAAAGACTTGAAGGAACCCTTCTGTAGATGTCTGCTTAGTCTCTCCCTGTGCGGGTTCTTCTGTTCCAGTATTCTGCCTTACAAATCCCTGCTGCCTTGGCCTTCCTAAACGTAGTCTCTGTCTTCACAACTCAGCAAGAGAGAAAACTGAAAACTCTGAGTTCTGACATCCCCATCCCTACTCTGTGACTTTGAAACTGTTTCTAGCTAGTAAACTAAGGCTCACCTATTTTATTTCTCCTATCTTTGGGGTCACTGTTTTCCAGTGTCAGAAACCTTTGTTTCCTATTTTTGGTCTGTTTTATAATTTTTTAGGGTAAGAAGGTAAACCTTGTCACGGTTACTCCATAATGTCCATAAGCAGGAGTCCTGCAGTTGGCATTTTGCATTTCCTTTCTTCTGTTTAGAGGTAATTTTATAGGTTGTTTTTGCTGACATGTAGGGGGTGTGGTGGTCTTTGCTTCCTAGTCTAAGTCATTGTCTTTCTCAGTATCTTGCTAAGAAGCCTCTGTTGCTTACATAGGAAATCATGTGTTGCTGGGGACAGTTTGGTTCTCTTCTTTATAATAGAGGACGTGATGTCCTAAGCAGAGGTGTTACAGATTTTGCCTCACATGTGGCATCATTTCTTAGAATACGCAACAACTTGGCCATTGGTTTTTCTCCCACTGCATGTGGTTTTAGGCATATTCTTCAGCTGATGAATTCACCACCTTCTCCATTCTTGGGTCGTGAATCTGTAGGCTTGAATTCTGTTCTGAGAGCCAAAGCTTTGCAACATGCTGAGTTGGTTGGTTTGCTGCCTGGAAAATTGTTAGGGCAAAATTGATACTTTGACTGGGGAAGGAAAGAGGCAGATTTTCAGATGAAAGATGTTCAACTCCAAATAATACAAAAAAAAGTTGGCTTATTCTAAAGGCATGGGTAGAATTAGATGTATCATGAGAAAGGGAAAGAAGTTCAGCCCATAAATAGTGGCGAGTGGGTATCATAAGACTACAAATAAGTAGGGTAACCCTATAGCCTGTTTGCTAAGGACAGTCCTGGTTTATGCCTGTTGTCCTGCAATAATTATTAATAACATCCCCTTTCACTATTGAAAGTATCATGGTTTTTGATGGTTTTATACCATATGACTATATATATATATATATATGTATATATATATATATGTCATCCTACTTACAAAGAACGGTTTAAAGAATACATGGTAATTGTTAATTCTTTGTTCTTGTCATTCTTCTTGAATGATGGATTTACTGTTTACTTTGTATTTTAGTGAAATAGTATTCAGTGACTGATAAGTGTGTGTTGGGTGTTGTTGTTTTTTTTTTTTAATTTTTGGTATTTTTCCTGCAGATGATCTCAATGCCACCCACCAACACTGTGTTTTGGCTGGTTTACCACCTCGGTTTAGTTCCACCCACCGAGTGGCAGAGGTAAGTGTAAATAAAAATGTGACTCAAACTTAATTGGATGTGACAGAAGTGGTCGCATGAGCAACTTATCATAGAACTTTGGAAGAATATTTGATAGGAAAATTGCTTCCATCTAACTAGACTTTAGCCTCTATTTACTTGCTTTTTTAGCTTTGAGTTGTGTTGGACCCAGTTTTGAAAAGTGTGTTCACAGCCTGGGATAAGTCTATTTTGCTTCTTTGGGGTTGTGTTTCTTGGAAAAGATGCCAGCAAGAGGGCACCTTGGCAGGTGTCGCTGGTTAGAGATTTTCTAAGGGGTTTGTATCTGTCAAGGTCAAGGGCAGGGGATGGCCAGAACAAAATAGTAGATTTGTGTGCTTGTGCATGTGTTAGCTGTGACTGGGCTCAGATGGTTGAGAATTTATATTTCCCTTAACTTTTGGGTCAGGCTTCCGGGCATGTGAATGTAAATTAAGGAGAAAGTTACAGTGGTGCCAGGGAATTTCCAAACTCCCCAGTTGTGTTTCTAACCCAGACTTTATTGCTAAATTCTGCCAGCACTTGCAGTGGCAGATAGTCAGCTGATTAGACTAGTTCAGAATGGAAACTTAAGAGATGAGGGAAGCCTTTAGTAGTCACCCTGGAGTATTGTGTGTGCTCAGTTAAGAAGTGTTCCAGAGAGCAGGGGAATGATCATGAAAAGGATTACAACTTGACCTCGTATCCAAGCTTGTCTTCTGTGCTTTGCTTTTATAGCTTGACTTTTCATTGTACCACAAGGGGACCAGTGTGAGAAAGTTGGGCAGACGGGATACAATAAAGTGGCAGGGAAACACAAGCACAAGACCTTTCCAGTCCTGAGACTGTGTGAGTCTATAAGGCAGTGTCATGTCTTTTGGTATTTAGGTAGCTTTTCTAGTGGACTGGTCATTTTGCTAGGTGGCAGAGAGGACACGAGTGTCTGTTTAAATCAAGATGCCAGCAAACCCATCAAGCATTCCTTCCCCCTTTTCTCCCTTTCTTCTCTCTTCTATTCAATCATTCATCTAAATATTTGAGTGTCTGTTCTGTGCCCAGTAGCACTAGAGGCATGAGAGAGAGAGAGCCATCAACATGACAGGTATGGCCACTAGCTTTGCTGAACTTCCATTTTAGTTTGAGAGACAAATATTAAATAGATAAAAGCACAAATAATTATCTTAGAGACCTAAAAAGGTAAGTTCTGTTAGGAAGGAAGGAAGGAGTGAGTGAAGGCAGGCCAAAAAGAGTGAGCAAGCATTTATAGAGCATCTAATAGGTGCTTTGTATTGTACAAAAAAGACTTCATTTTTTGTATGATACAAGATGGTATAGACCTCTGTCTTTCTAGCTAGAACTCTCCTAAGAATTCTTTTGAGTATGTGGCTACTTATGTGTATCTTTGCACCTTTCCTAATCCAATCCGGAAGAGTGGACAAGACGATTAGTGCTGTGCTCAGAGGGTTGGTACAAAATGATGAAAAAGAAGTTTCACAAAATGTATTTGATAAGGATAACAATCATATTTAATTCATAGGGTTCTTGTGAGGATTAAGTGAGTTAATACGTGTAAGTCTTTTTGAACAGTGGCAGGTATAGAGTATGCATTCAAAGAATGTTAGCCACTACTACTATTATTAAATTACTACCACTGCTGCTGCTGCTGCTACTACTATTACTACTACTGTCTTTTCAGTTATCCTGATGAAAAGCTAGTAGGAGACAGGAACAACAAAAGCTCTTTGTGTGGAAGGCTATTCTGTCTCCATTTATACACTAGAATGTATGTAATGAAGCAAGAGAACTTAAGTCATCAATGAGTCTTTAATTGGAAGTGTTGCTATTAACTGAAAGCTACTACTCAGAAGAAGGGAAGTGATTTTAGTTCTTTCATCCATTCTGCAAACTTTCGTTGAAATTCCCAGTGCTCAAGGTATTCTTTTAGACACTTGTGCACAGGTAGAGTGCAGAATAGAGAGTAGCAAACAGCATAAGGCTTCACAAGTGACATGACATGTAAGACTTGAACATGTAGGGATTAGGGGATTTTAGGACATTTTAAGACATTTAAAAGTCCTTATCCCATTAGGTGGAAATCTTGTGATCAGAATGGGATGGGGATACAAAGGGAGTATTGAGTGGCTCAACTTTGACTGAATCCCAGGATGCCAGAAAGGGAGTGTTGGCAGATAAAGGCTGATCCCTGAATGATTGGACTGTGAAAGATCTTGGATATCAGGTTAGGTGTGTTTTAACTTAAGTTGGTTCAGGTGGGGGTTACTGATGATTTATTTATCGCACTAGTGACATATTGGAGATGTCTTTAAGAAGATGAAAATGATAGAGACATCAATTAAACCTATTGGTCTGAACTAAGGTCATGGCAACAGGAAAAAAGAAGAAATTCCCTTGACTAATGTAGGAGACAGTGACAGACTTGGTAACTGATTGAAGTGGAGGGAGGAATGTAAGAATGAATGAGTGAGTGGATGAACAGATGAATGAATGAGTGAATGAATGAACACACTAACCAGGTAACGCTTTATTGGATGCTTGTCATGTGCTGGGCTTTTGGGTGACTCTGAGGTTTCAAGCTTGGGTGATTTGGAGATGACATTACCATAAGTAGAAATAGGGATCTAAGACACGAGGGGAAGACAGTAGTTCAGTTTTGAACAGGCTGAGTCAGAGCTGCCAAGAGGAGAGGTCCAGCAGACAAATGTAAATTTGGGACTAAAACGTGTGAGAGATCAGGAAACCTTTCCTTCTCCACCTCCTATGATAAATACACACATTCAGAATGCAGTTTGAAAAGTACCCCTCTGGCCTTATTTCCTTTTTTTCCAAGTGGACCATCTTAACTAAAGTAGCAGTGCTTTCAGAATATCCTGAGGTTTAGCTTTCTCTGCTTCAGTCATAGCTGTATTTGTACCTTCTAATTTTTAGGCAAAATTTTGAGCGTTAATTAATTTTTAAAAAAGAGGTGGATATGCATAGTGATAATAATAATATAATCCCAAATCTGTATCTTTTATATTATCTCTACTTCAGTTCAAGCTTATGATACTTTACTAATTAGACATACATAATGTGAATGATGTGACTATCCTGCTTTCTATATTATAGATCAGGGTCAGCAAGTTCTATGGCTTTTGGGCCAGCCAGCTCTTTTTGTAAATAAAGTTTTATTGGAACACAGCCTCGCTCACTTATTTACGCATTGTTTATGGCTGCTTTGGAGCTACCATGGCAGAGCTGAGTAGTTGAACACAGACCTTATGGCCTGCAAGCCTAAAATATCTACCATCTGACCTTTTTAAGAAAAGGTTTGCTGACTCTGTTTTACATGATCCTGTGTATACAGGCTTTAAAGTTAAAAGGAATTTTTTTTAAAAAATCATCATTTTAAGGTTAACTTTTTATTTCTACCCAAAATCAAAAATGATAATATTCAATGCTGGTAAAATTACAGTGAAACTGTACATTCATACCCTACTGGTAGTTTTTCTAATTAGTGTATTTTTTGGAAGGCTATATGGGGATATGTGTAAAGCCCCATAAAAATATTCATATCTTTGATCTCATGACACTGTTTTGAGGAATCAAACCTAGGAAATAATTCAAAGGAAGTATATATAAAAAGATATGTATCTAGCATGACTAACAGTAGTGAAAAGTTGGACAGAACCTTAATGCCTTTATATTATGTGACTTGCTAATTAAATTGTTAATGTCACCTCATTCAGCAGCATTGACCATGGCAGTTTTGAACACCTATGTACAAACAGTGAAAAGTAGCATGTACATTGATATGTATATATTCATTACAGCTGTGTGTGGATGAAGAATTACACGCAATAAAAATAATTTATTTTAAATAGAGCACGGCAGGATTATGTTTTTATCTTATTTAAAACTTCTAATTTCATCTTATATTATTGTTTTCAGTAATAGAAGAGGGAAGATTTTTTTCTCCAACACTATAGTTTACGTTATGGTTTCCCTCAATACAGAGAAGAAAAAAATCCATGCAACTTTATAGCCCTCACTTGTTCTACAAATGTCCTTTCCTTCATACAGTATTAAATTAGACATCTTTTCTGTGCCAAACAAAATGATTCGCTATTTTCTGCCTATTCACAATATGTAGGAAACAGATTGTCTTAAGGAAATGTTGTTCTGAAATTCATTTTAGTTAATCACAGAAGAAATCTATTCAGTTTTTAGTTGCAAAAATGTGACTAGAGTATGTCTGATGACTCTCGACCTTTATTTGATTTTAGTTTTTTTCTGGTTGTGACAGAATGTTCTTGGGATGCAACACAGATTATATGTTTTTTTTAATTTAAATTCTATGTATAATTATATCTTGAATAGATAGTTACGCAAATGGTTCAAAACTCAAAAAGTACCTAAGAGTGTACAGTTAAAACCTATTTCTCCTCACACCAGCCAGCTCCTCTTCCCCAGAGGCAACCAACGTTATCAGATTTTTGTTATCCTTTCAGTGATACTTAATACATATATAAGCAAACACATATGTAATTTTTAAAATTTCTTATATAAATGGTAGTCTACACAGTATTCTGCCCCCTTTTTTTTTTTATTTTTTTTTGCGGTACGAGGGCCTCTCACTATTGTGGCCTCTCCCGTTGCGGAGCACAGGCTCCGGACGCGCAGGTTCAGCGGCCATGGCTCACGGGCCCAGCCGCTCCGCGGCATGTGGGATCCTCCTGGACCGGGGCATGAACCCGCGTCCCCTGCATCGGCAGACGGACTCCCAACCACTGCACCACCAGGGAAGCCCCTATTCGGCACTTTTTGTTTTGTTTTATTTTAGTAAACCTTGATGATAATTACTTATCAACATGCAGTTCTTAGAGTAGGGAATTTTTTTTTAAGATATGATACAAAAGCATAAGCCATCAAAGAAAAAATAGGTGAATTGGACTTTATCAAAGTTAAAAACTTTATGCGTCAAAGGGTACCATCACAAACGTGAAAAGACAGAATGGGAGAAAATATTTGCAGATCATACATCTCACAAGGTGCCCATATTTAGATTTATATAAGAACTCTTACAGCTCAATGATTAAAAAGAAATAATCCAACTTTTTCAACTGATAAAGGCTATGAATAGACATGTGTCCAGAGGAGATATACAAGCGGCCTAAAACACATGAAAAGATGCTCACCATCATTAGTCATTGGGGAAATGCAAATCAAAACCACAATGACATACCACTGCACACCCGCTGGAATAGGTATAATCAGAATCACAGTAACAGGTGTTGGTGAGGATGTGCAGAAATTGGAACCCTCATACATTGCTGGAGGGAATGTAAAATGGCGCAGCCACTTTGGAAAATTTAACCTTCAGAAGGTTAAATTCAGAGTTACCTTATTGCCCAGCAATTCCATGCCTAGTGTACACACCCAAGAGAAGTGAAAACTCGTACATGAATGTTCACAGTAGCTTAATTCATAATAGCCAAAAAGTGGAAACAGCCCAAATGTTCATCACCTAACGAATGGAGAAACAAAAGGCAGCGTATCTGTACAGTTGAATGATAATTTGGCAATAAACAGGAACGGGGTACTGACACATGGACAACATGGATGAACCTTGAAAATATACTAAGTGAAAGAAGCCAGTCACAAAGGACCACACATTGTATGATTTCATTTATATGTAATATCCAGAGTAGACCAGTCAAATCTGTAGACGCATAAAGTAGATTAGTGGTTGCCTAGGGCTGGGAAGGCTGGTAGAAATGGGAGGGGGTGACTGCTAAAAGGTACAGCGTTTCTTTCTGGAGTGATAAAAATGTTCTAAAGTTAACTGTGGTGATGGTTGCACAACTCTGTGAATATACTAAAAGACATTGAATTGTATGCTTTAAGTGGGTAAATTTTATGACATGTGAATTTTATATCTCAATAAAACTGTTTCCACTCCCCATGCCCTCCCAAAAAACTAGGCCTGATTATAGGTTCTTTACATCAGATGAACTCTAATCACCCAGGAAAAATATATATATTCCCCCCTCCTTCTTTTTTTTGGTTGCAATCATGGCTCCACCAGAGTTTGTTTAACTGGTCTTTTATTGATGGGAAATTTTGTGTTGTTTTTAATCTTTTATTATAGTAGATGGCATTTCAATTAATTACCTCTTATATAGGTTACTCCATACTTGGGAAAGTAAAGGTGCGGGTAGAGTATGTTTATAGACAGAATGTCATTTTAAAAATGTAGGGTTGTCTGTGGGACAAAAGTGAGTGGTAATTCATTTCCATTTTTTGTTTTTTCTTTTAGTAAATTGGAGCCACTGCCCTTCTGCTCCCCACACTTTGGGATCTTCATATTAAAACACATATTAGTCAAGCTTCTGTTTGTGGCACAGAAACTTCATTTTTTTCCCCCAGGCATGCCCAGGTCACATTGTATCAAGTGGCAGTAACTGTGCAAAGAAATTTTGTACCAGGGGATTAGCCTTCAAGGTTATTCGAAGGGATCCATTTAAATTGTAAATATTAAAATAAAAATACTCTGGGGAGACATTTCCCTCATTGGGTCTAAAGGATATTTACAGCTGGCATTTTCTCATTCTAGGAAATCGTGTCATTATCAAAACAAGCGGATGCACACTCCACCTGCATCCTCTTCTTTTCTGACATATGCTCATTCAAAGAGGGAGTGTGTCCATTTGACCTCTGTTTTGCTCCCACAGACTTAGAGAGGGATGGACTAGTTATCTGTGCCTTTGCTGATACCCGGGCGCTAAGTTATGCCTTTCAACATGCCTTGAGGGTATGAGCCACATATTCTCCATTATCTGAAGAATCTCTTCTGCCAAGGCAGACTTGCAACTGCCTAGCGTAAGCTTTCCGCAGAAAAGGAAAATGAGTTCTTTGCCCTGTGTTTATAACTTCATTTTTTTTCTCCATTGCTGTTCTATTTTGTGTACTTTTGAACCAGTTCTTCAGTCTGGTTACCGTTTTTTCCCCATTGTTAGGTGCAGGGCACTTGAGATAAAGTCAGTGTTCTTGACTTCTTGGCTAATTAGTTATTCCTCCAATAACTACTTACTAAGTTTCTTTTATATTTAAGACTCAGTTCTAGGTGCTGCAGTATATGTATAGTGTATACATTTTGAAACAGGGCTTTAGCCTTCAGGGAGCCTACTCTTTGGAGATATGAAGCCCATGTAATAAAAAGCAGCAAGATGAGTGACCCAGGTGACGGCCAAGCTGGCAGCACAGAGCCCAAGGAGAAAGCTACTAGAGTCATTCTTAAGTTGAGGAGCATAGGCTGACCTGTGAGGGCGACAGGTCCGGGAAGGGGACAGACGTCCTAGGAAGAGAGGGATGGTAATCTTGGAGTTTGCTTACCATCTCGGTGGCTGGTTCTATCTCTGCAGTGCGCAACGGGGACCTTGGATTACATCTTACAGCGCTGCCAGTTGGCCCTGCAGAATATCCGTGATGAGGCGGACAATGGTGAGGTCTCTTTGAAATCCTTGGAGCCAGTGGTTTTGAAACACGGAGAAGAAATCCACAACGAGGTAAGGACTTTCAAGAACTGTGAAGTTTCTCTCCTACTTGCTAGCTAACAAGTTATTCGGCCACAGTTTGCTATGAGTATAAGAGACAAGGGATGGTTCATTACTTACAATAGCAGTAGCCAGAGCATGAGCATTTTTGTGCCAGTTCTCCAAGCCTCTGTTTCCACAGGGTAACGCACAGTGGGCTGGATAACATGTGCACTGGAGGGGTTGTGTTCTAGAAGAGGAGCCTGACCTGAGGTAACCCGACTCTTCCATGATGGGCAGTAGGCATGTCTGTCGTTTGCTCCAGATCAAGACACATCTTTATCCTCCAAGTCTGTTAGCAATCCTACCCTTTATTCTGGAGGGAGAAACTCTCTCTTCCAAGCGTGTTCACTATAAAGACATCCTTGCAATGAGAGTGTGAAGCAAAGGGCAAGACATGTAGAAACACAAACAAGAGACCCATGAAGGATAATCTTCCAGCAAGGACTGATGGAAACTGAAGGTGGATCCTTGGAGCTGGTGGACCCTTTGGAGCCTTGCCTTTTGTTCAGGAAATTAGTAGCGATTCTGCAGTCTGTGGGACCAGCATGTCTGGATCCATGAGTCAGTGTTTCAAAAACTTTGTTAGTTTCATTAATACGTTTTCAATTTTTGCTCTGTCTTTGGACTACATATATTGTTATCTCTTCAATACTTTTAAAAGAATCAACTCATTTTTTATGTAAATTAAAGTTTTTAAAAAGGAAGCTTTATATTACCACTTTTAAGTGGAAAGCTGGTATCACTATCCAAAAGAAAAAGTAACCAGAAAACTCTAGCCTGTGAAAACAGCAGTGTTATACTATTCCAGCAGATGCTTTTGGCCGGAGAAGGTTCAGAGCCTACAGTCTCTATTCTTCACGTTAAGAAGGAAGATTAGTGCGCAACTTCCTGTACATTCTAAAAGTCATTGAATTCTACACTGAAAATGGGCGAATTTTATGGTGGGTAAATAATACTCGCCCCCCCCCAAAAAAACCCATTGAAATGAAAGTCAAAAAGAGATTACCAAGTGGTAGAGAATCTTTGAAGATTATCATCAAAGACTTTTTCTTTGAAATAATTAGAAGGATTGGTGGAGAATTGGAGTACAAAAATGTTCTCAATCATCTCAATAAATAATTGCTGAGCATGCGCGAGGCACTCTTTCTGGGTGCTTTCGGATATGTTGGTAAATAAAATAGACATTCTAGTGCAGGGAGATGACAATAAATAATAAACACACTACATCAGTTTGTTACACAGTATGTTAGAAGTTGATAAGTGGTACAGGAAAAACCAAACAGGGCAAGGTAATGGAGATTGAGAGAAGCAGAGAACACTCCCGCTGACAAGATGTCCTTTGTCCAAGGTTGAGGAAGAGAGCCATGTGGTTTTCTGGGGAACAGCATTTCAGGCCGAGGGAGACACCACTGCAAGGGCCGTGCGGGTGGGAGAATGCCTGGTGTTCGTGGACTAGTTCAGGGACGGTCTGCTGTGAGTGGTGGGAGTGAGGCTGTTAGTTACAGGAGATGAGGTCACGGAGGTGGTGTGAGGGGATGGGGAACGGCAGATTGTATCAGTCGTTGGAGGTGTCTCTAAGGACAAGGGCTTTCCTTTTTACTCTGAGGGTTATAGCGAGCCACTGAGGGGGTTTGAGCAGAGGAGAACAGTGTTCCCACAGTGCCATGTAATATCTTTAAAAAGATATTTACTTATCTTACGAGCTGCTCCTCGGCTTGAATAGGGAGGTCTTGAATCTGAGTAACATGTGTGCCAGTCTTCTCTAATCCCCCAGTCTTTGATTCTTCAAGGTCATCTTCTTACTTTCAGAATGAGTTCCATATGTCAGGACACATCATCAGATACTCTCCTTTGGCCACGCAAGTTGGCGTGCTCACGCTCTTCTGGGTTCTGTTGCTGAATGAGAGCACAAATGTCTATAATCCTTTCCATGGTTCTTACTGTTTGCTTTCCTCTTTCTTAAAGGCCATGTGCCTTTGCTGGACTAATTATAGGATGAAGCCCTTGGTTTCATGTCTGCAGTCTTTTGGGCTGTGTCGGTTTAGAAGTGGTTGGTTTTCTTTGTCTTAGATAGTTTCTAGCTAAACAATTTGGGGACTTTGGAGATTGGAACTGAGTACCTTAAGAAGATTTTTTTTTCCAATTTAAGACGCTTAAAAAGATTTTTGGTGAGGTATAAGCAGAACCTTCCTCTGTGTTTATAAAATAGTCTGTTTTCCTTCTTAAAAATCATAAAATATGGAATTCAGTCTTGTCACCTGGTAAATTTCCCCTAGGAAAATTTACTATTTGATGTCATCATTTGGTTCTCATTTTGTTCTGATCAGACCTGCGTCTTCCTTACAGCTACTGGGAAAGGGCTTTCATTGGGTAGCTCTTTGTAAATTGGACCTTAGCATCTCTTCCTGGTCTCATGTCTTTCTCCATGAAAAAACCTATTTCATTGATTACAGTGAGCACTGACCCCAATGGGCATGTTCCCACATGGGCATGATGGGCATGATGCCCAATGGGCATCTTGAGGGAAATGCATAAGCTGACCTGGGACCAAATCAAGGACCCACACTAACTTGGCAGAAGTAGGTGTCATCTGCTTACCTGTAAGAGTGTTGGGAATGATTTCCAACTATGCAGTGCTGTGGTGACTCAGAAGTACGGTTTTGGAATCTTTCAGACTTTGCTCCCCAATGCCTAAGTGTCCAGTGACTAAGGTTCAGGTAGGTGGGTGGATTCTGTTTGTGCTTCCCCTTCAGACTTTTTCTAGACATTTCTAGGAGAAAAGCTTTTCTTTTTTTTTTTTTTTTTTATATAGAAAGTCTTAAAGTTTATTTTGATAGATTTGCTTTTTACAGGAATTGGTTTAAATGAAAAGCTTTTCTTGATTGACCTTTTTCTTTTCTTTTTTTAATTAATTAATTAATTTATTTATGGCTGTGTTGGGTCTTTGTTTCTGTGCGAGGGCTTTCTCTAGTTGTGGCAAGCGGGGGCCACTCTTCATCGCGGTGTGCGGGCCTCTCCTGTTGAGGAGCACAGGCTCCAGACGCGCAGGCTCAGCAATTGTGGCTCACGGGCCCAGTTGCTCCGCGGCATGTGGCATCCCCCCAGACCAGGGCTCGAACCCGTGTCCCCTGCATTGGCAGGCAGACTCTCAACCACTGCGCCACCAGGGAAGCCCTGACCTTTTTCTTTTTGACTATTCCATGGAGAAGGCAGGTGCAGGTGAAATAGGAAGGTTCTAGAGATGTTTCTCTGGGTCACAGCTACGTAACTAACACTATTGTGAACGTGTGTTCATTTTTCTTTGATGATTCAGAAGGTCCTTCAAGATCCTGCAAGTTCCCTAGGCTGTCACTGTGCCTTCTGATACCTGTGGGCATTAGGTATCTTTGTATTGTCACTGCACCAAAGATTGAATAATAGGGAATTTCCATTAAGTGCATGTCTGAAACCTGGGAGTTTGTTTTAAAAGCATCATGAACCCCAAGAGCACCTCAAGAGAGTTCCGGAAGCTGTGAGCCTCCCGGGAGGGACTGCACTCTGGAGAAGGGATGAAGACCCTCCTCCTGTCATGGCTAGCACGTTATCAGTCAGTCAATATGGTGAGACTGTGATTGTTTTTAGCCTTGAAGTAATAAAGCTTCTGTTCTGTTCTGAATCCTGACCCTTTGGTTTTCATGCAGCATCCACCCTGTGGCTGCAGCTTTCCGTCCTCATCCCCAGAGTTTGGGGTGGAGGGGTGCACACCTTTTTTTTTTTGGTAACCCAAACTGAATCAAGCAGCTGGAAGTATATTTTGCTTCCTTAATTAATTTTAAGGAGGGAGGCAACTGCTTCTCTTGGCAGTGTTAGCACTGGTGAGGGTGGCATTGGATGAATATCCTGTAATATTTTTTGCCCACAACATCGAAGTGAAAAAGTCAGGTTATGGAGTTGATTAAAATACATGCCAATGGGTTTGATGCCCACAAAGATTGTATCTCATGGGCAGTACTTCCACCCCTGAAAAAAAAACTCTGTTGGGAATAAGTTTCAGGGTTGAACTTTTCTGACTGGCCTCCGTGGAACGGGGGTGAGCATGAATTGACATGATTGTTAAAACTTCTCTTGCTCAGAAGATTTCATAGGATTGTGAGATTCTTGAGGACAGTAAGTGGTGGGCCTTGTGGCCTCATTTGGTCTGTTTTCTTAGTATCTACCAAGTGCCTGGCATATGGTCGGCTGTTCATTATTAACCCACTTAATCCTCACCACAAACCTATGTGGTGATTATGTAATTATCCTTATTTTACAGATGACAGAACTATTCAGTAGTGGAGCCCAGATATGAACTGACTCCAGAACCCTTATTCTTAACCATGACACTGTCTGCTTCAAAAGATAGTTGGGCATCTAAGGAGGAAGATAAAGTCATTATTTGCTAAAATGGACAGGGTCTTTCTTTGCTCTCTTGTCCAACAGCAGTGTTTCCAGGTATGCCCCTCTCCTTGCTTCTGAGTTTTCATTTACTGAAATCCAGACTCTATTGTACCTTTAAAGGCAGAATGAACTAATTACGTATGATAATTATTTTGTTTCCTGGGATATCATGGTTGCCAAGGTTTATATGTTTTGTTGTTATGATGGAAAAAACCAACCCAAAGATAGAAAAACCCTTTCAGCTCTCCCAAACATAGGGCTTGATGCTTTGCTGACAGGTTGTTCCTATAGTGTGAATAAATTTTATGTGAAATCTATTAAAAAGAACTCTTTTTTTCTTGTAACAAATTATGTTGTTAAACCTGCATCTAAAGAGAAGTTGAACTACATTTGTATTCATTTTCCTTTCAAAGCAGTTAAGTTTACCTCTGTTAACCACTGTCTTTTAATACTGCAGATAAGGTTTAACAACTATTGTCTGAATATTGTCTACATTCCTCTTTTTTTTTTCTGTTTAAACAGCTTTAACTGAAATCAGTTCTACGTATCAAACAAACATTTAGTTAATGTAAACTAAAACCCTTTCATATGACTTGGTGTTCTCAGATTAGTTATTTGAGCCATTTTCACCAATGTTAAATCTTCACAAGTTGCTTTTGTTTGCCTCATGAAAGTTCAATATGGATAAACAAAACAAAAAAAATTCTTTGTGGTAACAGGTGAAGCTTATAATAGCTCTGTGCCTGTATATGGAACATGATTACCTTAGCAAAGCCAACCTTACTCAACATTAAGCTGTGAAAGCTCTACATTTCTTGAGACAACAGAGGTAGAAAGAGCTTTGGGATGAATGAAGTTGTACTTTGATTGTAAAATTTGATTTTCAAGTTGGAGATGAGTGAAAGAAAATAGGAAACAATTTCTTATTCTTTCAAAGCTTTACTCAGCCTCTCACCTACACATATTGGGATTATTTCAATTGCAGGAAGCAGAAAACTCAACCCGAATTAGTTAAGCAAAAAGGGCTTCAGGAATAGCTTGATCAAGGGTCAGTTGATGCCACCAGGACCCGGTTTTTAACTGTTCCTCTTGCAGCTGCTTCCTACTGTGTTGCCCCCATTCTTCCCATTCTGCAAAATGTTTGAAGAATCCTCTTCCTGTATCTTCTGACAGTCTCAAGACTTACTCTGATTGAACATATGCCTGTTTCCCCCAAACCCAGTTATGTGACTAGGAGAAGTGTGGTGGGCTGATTGGCTCAGATTGGGTTGCACATTCCACTCCTGGTATAAGAGCTGGAGCTTTACCCAGACCACATGGACTGAGACTGGGGAAGGGAATGGATTATCAAATGAATAATGGGGTTTGGCTAGAGTAGAATGATGCTAAGGAGGCAAATATTTGAAGTTTACCGTACTAGGTTCATAGGAAGGAAAATAAATTAGTAGTGTCTTTCCTGTTCTTTTTACCTATTGTCATTTGCCCTGACTGAACTGAAAGTGACAATTTAAATGGCTCCGTAGGTTTTATGCCGCTGTAATTAGCTTTATATTGTTCAAGTTATCTGAGTTGATGTTACCACCAGCCCCTCCTGGCCCATGGGTAAATTCTTTGTTTATTTTAGATCTAAGAAACTTAAAATTGATATCTTCTAATATGTGGCTGTGTTTTGCTCTTAATACTAGGTCTTTAAGAAAGATATTTAATGAAAACATACTTTGTTTGATTATATCTTTCCCATCCTACACAGTGCAGGCTGCTGTAAACTTTAGGATCTCAGGATTTGTTGTTGATTGACTTATAGTTTCCTCATGTCCGAGTGATGAACCAACCAACAACCTGGGTTGTCTCAGTAAGCTTTTTTTTTTTTTTTTGCGGTACGCGGGCCTCTCACTGTTGTGGCCTCTCCCGTTGCGGAGCACAGGCTCCGGATGTGCAGCCTCAGCGGCCATGGCTCACGGGCCCAGCCGCTCTGGGGCATGTGGGATCTTCCCAGATGGGGGCACGAACCTGTGTACCCTGCACAGGCAGGCGGACTCGCAACCACTGAGCCACCAGGGAAGCCTTCAGTAAGCTTTAAGACTACTCTCCTCCTGACTTGCAAAAAGGCTCAGGAGACTCCAAGTTATATTGGGAACTGGTTAGGCTGAGCTTTTCTCACCTTTTCTCACCCTATGACTGTGAAGTTACTGGAGGAGAACTGAGTGATGAAGTTTACTGTCCTTGATTGTCCATCATGGTGGCATTATAACCACAGTCTTGTCTTTATGATCCCCAGGTCGAGTTTGAGTGGCTGAGACAGTTTTGGTTTCAAGGCAATCGATACAAAAGGTGCACCGATTGGTGGTGTCAACCTATGACTCAGCTGGAAGAGCTGTGGAAGAAGATGGAAGGCCTGGTAAGTATCTGGGACCGGGTTTCCTGGGATGTTGTGCTCCGGCAATCCTCGGCTGCCTAATTTGCATGGGTAAAGGCAAGAGAAAGACAAGTATCATATGATATCGCTTATATGTGGAATCTAAAAAGAAAATGATACAAATGAACTTATTTACAAAACAGAAATAGACTTACAGACATAGAAAACAAACTTCAGGTTCCCAAAGGGGAAGGGGAGGCGGGGCTGGATAAATGAGGAGTTGGGGATTAACAGATACATGCTACTATAAATAAAATAAACAACAAAGACCTGTGTAGCACAGGGAACTATATTCAATATCTTATAATAATCTATAATGGAAGAGAATCTGAAAAAGAATAGATTTATTTTTTATTTTATTTTATTTATTTCTGGCTGCGTTGGGTCTTTGTTGCTGCACGCGGGCTCTTGTTGTGGTGAGCAGTGGCTACTCTTCGTTGCAGTGCGCGGGCGTCTCATTGCGGTGGCTTCTCTTGTTGCAGAGCACGGGCTCTGAGTGCATGGGCTTCAGTAGTTGTGGCTCATGGGCTCTAGAGCACAGGCTCAGTAGTTGTGGCGCACGGGCTTAGTTGCTCCGCGGCATATGGGATATTCCCGGACCAGGGCTCGAACCCGTGTCCCCTGCATTGGCAGGCGGATTCTTAACCACTGCACCACCAGGGGGGCCCTAGATTTATATATATATGTATAACTGAATCACTTCGCTGTGCACCTGAAACTAACACAACATTGTAAATCAACTATACGTTAATTAAAAAATAAATAAAGACAAAAATCTCTAAATTAGTGAGTTAGGTTACTCTTGGGAAGGTAGTGGGAACAGCCAAGGATTTTGTGAGCACAAGCTTAGTTCCGTGCAGTGAACCTTTATTGAGCGTTTCTGACATGTAAGGCACCGTGTTAGACATACACTGGGAAGCGACGATGAGAACAGTACAACTCCTAAACTTCATTTGCATTTTTGTATGCACCAGGCACTATTCTAAGAGTTTTCCCTATATTAACTTTTTTTTTTTTTGCGGTACGGGGGCCTCTCACTGTTGTGGCCTCTCCCGTTGCGGAGCACAGGCTCTGGACGCACAGGCTCAGCGGCCATGGCTCACGGGCCCAGCCGCTCCGCAGCATGCGCTCCGCGGCATGTGGATCTTTCCGAGCTGGGGCACGAACCCGTGTCCCCTGCATCGGCTGGCGGACTCTCAACCACTGCGCCACCAGGGAAGCCCCCTATATTAACTTTTAAAGTTCTTACAACAGTCCTGTGAGTTGCAGAAACTGTTATGAACCTTAATTTATAGACATGAAAACCAAGCCCTAGAGAAATTAAGTGCCTCGCCCAAGGTCATGGAGTAAGTGGCAGAGCGAGATTGAAACCCAGGAAGCCTGGCTTTGTAGCTTGTGCTCTTAACCACTACATTCCGTTTAACAAGGAGAGAAGCATGAATATAGCCAGGTGTTGCATTAGCTAAAATGAAATCCTGTAATAGAGATTAAAAAAAAAAAAATCACCATCCAGAGGCTGGAATATTAAATTCGGAGCACTGGAGCTGGGACAGTTGTGAAACAGCAGATGTGGCTTTTGGGGACCTTGGGTGGGGAGAAGTAGGGTCGGATAAGGCATTCAGAGAGAAGCATTAGGCCCCAGGAACTGTAAAAACAAGATCAGGAGTGGGGAAGTATAGTGTGATCAGAGCACGGGATTCAGGGGATGTGTCGTAGGAAATGTAGCTAGAAGGCAAGTTGAGGCCACTTGGAGTAAGTCTAAATTAAAATAATAGTCATAATAGCAAATACTTATGTGATACTTATTAAGTGCCAGACACTATTGTATTTAACTTTTATGACAACCCCATAAAGTAGGTATTTTTCCCCCATTTTACACATGAGGAGACTGAAGCACAAAAGGTTTACCTGACTTCCTCAAGGTCATACAACTAAGTTGGGGAGCTGGGATGAGAACTCAGGAAGACTGGCTCTGGGGTCATGCCATGTGTCACCTCACTGTTCTACCTCCAAATCGTCAGGTTTGGAATGTAGTGGAAAAGTGATAAAAGCCTGCTGAACTCTTGAGAGAGTACCACTGCACAGACTTTGAGATGTGCTAGAAACAGTGAACTGATTTGCAAAAATGGGTAGTTATTGCTAATCCCTATTTTATAATAATGAAAATATCAAGTCACAACCCTGAAGGGGCCCCAGTTTGAAAGTCTGGGTCAGAGTCCAGAAGTCTCTGCTTTTCAGACATTTCCTTAAATCTTTAAAGCATGCCTTTTCATGAATATATGTCGGGGGGAGGAAAGTTGTCATCCTTTTAGTGTCCTAATAGTATCACAAAAATGGATTTCTCCAAAGACTTGAATCAGTGCAAAATGGAGCATTGTAAAACTGGGTTTGGAGGTAATGAAAAGTTCCTGCTGAAATTTCCTCAGTTAGTTCTGTTCCTAAAATTAGCCTGTGTGGAGTATGCTCCATTTTTATGGGATGTATACATAAGGCAGCTTCACTTTTAGGGAATTTCTTTTTCACTGTGTAATTCTGGTTTTGTTTGCATCTGAGTTAGAACTTCTTTACTTGCTGAACCTTGACACTAAGGCATCAGTTTGACTTTGGGATTGTAATTTGACAGTTCTTTGAATTAGAGCTGGCAAACTCTAACAACTAAACAATTAGAGTTGGCAAAATAAGAAAGAAACTCACTGAGTTTTTTTTAAATGTTTTTGTATTGCTTTTGTTCAAGGGCTTTTTTTTTTTAAGTGAAATCTTTGGTTTTGTGAGCTTACCAGCGATGTTCATTATGAATTCACTTAAACTGTTTAGTTATTTATATATTTTCAAATTTGGCGGTGATGGCACATTAGATCGACTGTCTCCCTTTATAACTCTCGTGTAAAAATACTAAAAAGAAGAACAGTCTTGGGAATTCTCCAGAGCGAGTTTCCTTGCAGTTGGTGTGGCATTACTAAGTGTTCTGAGTGAAATCAATGGCCTCTGTGTCTCAGCAAGTCTCGGGATGATCGTTATCAGCAGAGTGAAGGTTTGGGCCAAGATAAAAGGAATGGCATTCTAAATTAAATTTCAGCTTCAAGCCTTTTTTTAAACGACTTCTAGCAAATTCATAAGAATTTACTTTTGCTATTGGAAGAGACAGAAGAGCATAATCATTGGGCAGGTCTACGCTTCTGTGGCTGTTAGTGCAGTGCCATCTGGTATTTGTGTGTTCTGGGTGGAATTGGCACTGGCTGGTTAAATTCCTACTTTGTACCAGCCCACCTCATATTTTTTCAGTTGTGAGCAGTAGGGGGCAATGTTGAGCTACCAGTTTGACGCCCCCAGATGCTAAGCCTTTCAGGAAAATGCAGACAAATGCACCATTAACTGTCCAGAATTATCCCTGTTGCTTCAAGTTAGCTGTAATCTCCAAGATTCCATAACACAGGAAATCAGTTGTGGGTTAACAAATTCAACAGCAATTTAACATAAAAAGTGCAGTGTTTGGTGCACATTTGGATTCTATAGAATTAGACTAAGCCAAACGGCCTTTCTGAATGTACTCACTTTGCTTGCAGGGAATATACGGCTCAAAATGATGATCCTTTTAGACAAATGATTCTTCTTTATCGTTATGCTGTTTTGAATTGTAAAAATCACATGTGTGTTGTGGAAAGATTTCTCTAATTAATGTATTTTGTCTGTTCTGCAACATAGCATTGATCTCCTTTGGCGAGAAAATAAAACAAAAAACCTCGGGCAATATGTACATTACTTTTCACCTTTTGCTTGTGATTAAAGCAACCTTTGACAGCCCTCATACCAGGGAAGAGACTTGTGTTGTAATTCCTCTCTGTCTTTGTGTTCAATTTTTTCCTTTGTGGTTGGAAAGGGGTAGTCTCAGGTAGGATATAAAAGAAGAACGGAAAATGAGCTTTGAAATCACATTTCTTCCATTAATGGTAATTGCTTCACATGTCATAACCAGTCACATATTTTAAAAAGTTTAATCAGCTGTCTCTAAAACTCCCCTAGCCTCCACTGCCAATCCCCTGTTCCAGAAAGCAACGTTTTTTTATCACACTGTTTATTCTTGCCGTTTCCCTCCCTGAGGATAGTTTTACTCTGGGCATGCTCTTGTGATGTAAATGTTAAACCTTATATTTGAATGACATTCTGATAAAATATCACATTTTCCCTGAATATTACCTCATGAAGTTTTGAGCCATTAAGCCCAGAGCACCAGAACCCTTTCTTTTTTCTTTTTCTTTTTTTTTTAAATTTATTTATTTATTTATCCATTTTTGGCTGCGTTGGGTCTTCGTTGCTGCACACAGGCTTTCTCTGGTTGCGGTGAGCTGGGGCCACTCTTCATTGTGGTGTGAGGGCTTCTCATTGCGGTGGCTTCTCTTGTTGCGGAGCACGGGCTGTAGGTGCGCAGGCTTCAGTAGTTGTGGCGCACGGGCTTCAGTAGTTGTGGCTTGCGGACTCTAGAGCACAGGCTCAATAGTTGTGGCGCACAGGCTTAGCTGCTCCGTGGCATGTGGGATCTTCCCGGACCAGGGCTCGAACCCGTGTCCCCTGCACTGGCAGGCGGAGTCTTAACCACTGCGCCACCAGGGAAGCCCCCCAGAACCCTTTCTTACAACCTAGGAAGTTAGCCTAGTCTTTCCTCTCATTTTGCTCTTCAGGAAGGTGTTATGACACTAACACTATTCAAATATTTGTATTTTATTCTTTTTTAAAACCAGCCCACCACCCCACATCCAAGATTAGCATATTATGGGGAGACTGTTCAGGATAAGAGAGTGTTACCATTTGAAAGGAAACTGTACAGGCTTTGCTTTCTGGGTAAAAAAATATGAAAAGCCGAACTCTCCTGTGAGGTGAGGAAGTCTTGCTGTAGCCAGAGATTCAACGGATAGGCCATTTGTCTCTTAGGGTCTGGTATCGCACTTTGCAAAACTGACATTTATTTTACCTATAAAAATGTTTTA